TTTCTTGTGAAGCCAGTAAGGAATCAATACTGTGCCAGTCCTGTTCAGTATCCATATGAGATGGATTCAATACAGAATCTGTGCAGTACATTACAAAACTGGTTTGAGATTTAGACTGTACCATAACAGTTACATTTTCTCACATACATATTTTGCATATGTATTTACATATTCATAAAAGTAACCAATCACCTGGACGAGCACACATTTGAGCAGTAAAGGTTAATGTAAATGATAAGAAAACAAAAATGTTTCCATGACTTCAAATAACAATAACAAAATTGCATTTATATTGTGCGTTTCAACAACAACAAATTATATTTGTATAACGCCTTTCAAGTCGGAAGGATGTCCCAAGTTGCTGAGCAAACCCCACTCTTAATCCTCAATATCTGCTGAATTAGTTGATCCCAGCCAGGACAACAATGATGAGCACTACAACCGGTCTATGCCCTGAAGCAAAGAGAAGGAGCAAAGGGGAAAATCAGTTAAGGTTCATTCCAAATTGCTATCCAGAGTCTATGAAGGGATGGACTCCAATGAGGACAGAAAGTGAAGCTTGGCTCTAATGCCCCCACTATGGCCTACTGTAATGGTGTCCTGTAGCTAAGTGGTTAGAGCACTCACCTCGCAAGCGAGAGGTCCTGGGCTTCATTCCCGGGCAGGACAAAGAAAAGTTTCTTACTTTTTTTCCTTACTCCACACGCCTCTGTTTACCTAGCAGTAAGTAGGAACCCGGTGTTAGTTGGTTGGCGGATCGCTTTTCCAGGGGTAATAATCCATTCAAAAAATTAAATATATATATTTATATAATAATTTGGTCACTCAATCCACGACTGTTTATGGGACACAGTACATTCTGTGAAGCGCTTTTAGACGTCTCGACGACTTAATAAGGCACTATATCAAATGCAAGGATTATTATTATTTATTATTAATGATATTGTCATGTCTCCTCCATGAAGAATGGCCAATTGTACAAATTAGCAATAGGGGAGCTGGCATCTGTGTAGCCATGGGAAAAGAACATATTCTTCAAATTTGCTTTAATTCCAACTACGTAACTTGATGCCTCGAGAGTGTTTTTAATTTGCGCTAGATGTGAGAGCAAAATGAGAGTCTTTTATACATCAATCACTCACCATGACGATGCAATGGCAAATAAATGGCCAACAAAAATAAATTGCTAGTTGTAGTGGTCGGCACACAATAAACCGAATTATCCTAGCCTGTCAAACCGAGGAAACAAGATTAACATTTTTACTCCAAACTATTTCAGGAATTTGGAGCAAACCACTGGCTTGAGCAATAGTTTGAAATTAATAGAAAACACTTCTCAGAAACTAATTCATATACAACATGAGCATTTACAACTACTAACTTAATTGGGAACAAACTGGAAAACTGCCAATACACAGTAATTTACTTTTACACAATTGCATACTGTAGACAGTAAATTCTAACCCTCCATGGAAGGATCTGCTAGGTAGGGTCCCACAAGCTCAATCAATTACAAGTATAACATTACAAGTATTGCCATTTCATCTTTCAACAATTTGCTTAAACACAATTCAGTATTCAGTCTTTCTACTGAAATACATTTTAAGAAAGGATTCAAGATGTTTCCTGGTGCTTAAGGATATGTAAAGTAAATTGAATGGGAAGTGTTGACATTAATCTGATCAAAGATGTATATGATTCAAACTGCACTGAAGTCTTTGAAGGGCTTTGAAAAAGAGCTAGAGTTTCATATTTGGACTGACATTTATGCCTGCCTTTTTATGTGCGTGGAAGCAAGCTGTGTTATAATTTTTACCCAGATTTCAGACTGCATTTTATGCTCAATCTTCATTTTAGTCAAATTTTCTGACTTTTATCCTCTTTTGCTGGAGGTATAAATCATACATAATAATAATAACCCTTGCATTTGATATAGCTCTTTTCACGTCTTAACGTCTCAAAGCGCTTCACTTATATACTGTAAAGTGAATTCACAGTATATTTGTGGGCAAAACGCAGCAGCAATTGCGCACAGCAATTTTTTAATTTTCTTTTATCTTTTAGTCTAGCATGGTCAATAGTGTCATGCAGGCAGTGACGTTTACACATCCATGTAACTCATGCAAGTGGCCATTCTTTCTTTATTATCCAAACAGGGAGTGTTGATGGGCTATCTGATGGGGAGAGCACAGCCAAGCCTGATCTTGTCTACATGATATCTATGCATACGTACTTTTCAGCTGGTCATGGATAACAATCAGGAACCATACCTGATTTTCCCTTCTGCTAATGATAGGTGCTGAGGCCAGTTACAATGCAACTCTGCTACCATTGCTGAGTTCTTTTTTTGGTCAGTTAGGTGACTGACACGTGTGGAAATTCACCGTAATATCCAAACATCAAATATCCAAACCAGACTGAGGGTTCATACTGAACTAGGCTGAACACAAAAAGCCACTTTGGGAAAAAAAGACATTTGGCATCTATAGAACCATAATTCAGGAAGAGTTACACCTTTTTGTGAAGCAAAGAAAACTTTGCGGTGTGGAGGGGGTGTTCAAATATTGGATACATGTGGACAAAACGTGGCTGATGAAATGCAGCTGCACATTATCATGACTTCTTTCTAACAAAATACTGTAAATTGGATCCAGAACATTACTTTCGGTTTTGCTTCTTGTTCTATATGTGTCTAATTTGTATAAAAGTAATTGCATTAATTGAAATAATATTGTCGCTGTTCTATTCATCAAGGTAGAGAGTCATCAAATATCTATATTTGAGCAAAGGGTCACTGGATACTAACCTTCCTCCTCCTTAGCCATTAGGGTATAGAGATTCTTCTCTCACTCTGGCTGATTTCAATAAAAACATCACATAAATACAAATACAAAAAAACTACAAAACTACCTTTGTAATGTGCCTTTCACATCGGGAGGACGTTCCAAGGACATAAGGGATTAGGACCCAAGCGGTGGGCGCTGGTGGGGGGGTGAATAAATACATGTATACATACATAACTACATACTTATATATACATAAGCAAGATGATAAAAGATGTATTATATTTAAATAAAATTAAACACAATTAGTCTTGATTCAAAACCTAATTCTCACAGTTCTGATGGTGCTATGTTCGAACCGTTAGTCTTCCAGAATGCCATCAAGTTGACAACGTAAATCCTGTAACACCAAGTAGACAGTACTACTCAATAGTACTAGAAATCTATACTTTTCCACCTTTAAGGACATTTTAAGGATTAATCTGTAGTATACTGTAGTACTGTCATTACATACTATAATGTAAGCAATGCTCTCTAGTGGAGGATATCAGGTTTGTCACACAGAGCAACTTATAAATGATTCTCCACAAATTTCAAATTAAGTTTTTACTTCAATGGAGAAAGAGTTTTACACAATACAATTTACTTTCAGATAGTGCCTTTCACATCAGGGGGAGGTTTCAAAGCGCTTTATACAAATGACTGGGCTCCCAAATGCGGGGGAAAGGAGTAGGGGAAGCTGGAGGCTGAGGGGGAAAGATGATCAAAAGCACGGTCAAAGAGGTAAGTAAATCTTAACACCAGCTTTAAAAGTGTGTATCAAGGAAGTGTTTCTTCGTAGAGTTTGACAACCCTTGGATACTTAATAACATTAATCCTCGCATTTGATACAGTGCCTTATCATCACATCTTCAAGGCACCTCAAAGCGCTTCCACACAACATACAGTAAAAAGTGTGCTGACTGTGTATTTTGTGGGCGAAACGATTGATTGCGGGGAAAAAAAACCAGAGGAGAAGAAACAGAGACATTATAAGTTTGTGTTTCCATTTTTGCTCCAAGGACAGTCATGAAACTTACCTAACAGCAAGGAGCTCCCACCAGGTGACGAAGGCTCCAGAGTGGAATCCAGCGATCAAATGAACGAACATACAACGCACTCATAGATAAATGGACCACAACCGTCCTCAGCACTCCAGGGTATCGCTCGGGAAAGATGTGTGGGGTCTGAACTCGACTGATTTTTGCCGGTGTAGCCCCCGGCGTCACGTTCAGCTTCAGCATTGCTGCCTCAAACCGTCGGGACGTAGTGAGCGACTGGTCACACCACCGCCAATAAAGCCTGCGCCGATAACAACAATCCTTGCACGCGATATAACGCCGTATCACGGTCTTCGAGACGTCCGTCTCAAAGCGCTTCGCGGAATATACGGAGGAGAGGGAAAAAACTGACTGTGTATTTTGTGGGCGAAACACAATCGACTTCAAATCCACCCCTTTAAACCCTTGTGTGGGGGGAGAAAAAAAACGTCGTGATGGGTTTCTTTTGCCTTTCTCTCGAGAAAGGTGTTTTTTTTTTTGCAAATTTTGCATCGAAAAAAAAGGTGGCGGTGGCGGTGGCGGCGGCGGCGTGGAGGGAGGGGAGAGGGAGAGGGAGAAAGGAATGGGTGAGTGAGTGTGTGAAATTAAAATACGTTTTGTTAGCCCCCAAAAAAATCGACCGAAAACCAGTCCCAAAGGTTGTGACACGTTTTTTTTTCTCGCAGGTTTGAATTAACAGTTAAGAGAGAGAAAAAAACACGCGCTCCACAAAATCTCTCACCGGCGGGACTGGTTCCCTCCCCCCGGTTTCCTCTCACCGTACCCGGGAGGTCAAGAGCGCGCGCGAGCGGACATGCGCGCTCTGCGCATGGATTTTTTTTTCCCCCCATTTTCAAAAGCAGCACGAGGCCAACGGTCGCCGCGCGAGAGCCCCGCCCCCTGCCCCTCCCCTCAGCCCCTCCCCTTCCCCCCCCACCACACACACACACCCACCCACCCCAGCAGCCGGGGAGCAACCGCCAGCGCTTGCAGCCGCGACTCCCCCCCCCCCCGCCTTAAAGTCGGGTGGTTGCACCTTCCTCGCCCACCCGTCCGCCCGCGTGCTCCGAATTTATGCCTCGCGCCGCTGAGGGCGGTTGGACGGCGCCTGTTTGAGCCGAGCCCCGCCGGTTGCGGTGTGTGTGTGTGTGTGTGTGTGCGTGTGTCATGGCGTCGTGCTCCTCCGAGAGGGACGTCGCCTGCGAGGGGCAAATGTCCTCCCACGCGGCGGAGATCGAGCTGGACGACGACAGCGCCGGGGAGAGCAGCGGAGCCGGTTCCGTCCGAGCCCTCACCTCGTCCCCGCGGCCGGTGAGAGCGGCTCAACGGGAGGTGAAGTGCAGGCCGACGGACCCCGAGGAGGTGGAGGAAGCGCAGCCCCTCCCGCGGGTTTACGAGTCAACCGTCAAGTTCACGCCCGAGAGCAGGATGGACCTCTACTGCGACCAGATACTGGCTTCGTGCAAGGTAGTGAGGCGCGAGTGGAGGGAGGGCCGAGGGGACAGGCAACCGTGGGGGTGGATTCATCCAACCAATTAATCACCCGTGCGCTTGGCGATAGCGCCCTATCACATCGCCCTCGAGCCTCAAAGAGCTCCTCACGGGATTTTTTTTACTGTCATTTGTACAGTGGCTGTATTTCGTAAGCAATTCCTGCACAGCCAATGTCCCATAAACACCCGTGAAGTGGATGCCCTTCTCCCCCCCCCACTACCAACCCCCCCCCCCACCCCCCCCACACCCAGAAATGACTCACCTTCACAACAGGCGTTGGCTTAAATAACTGAATTATCATTTTTCGAAATAACGGAACGCAATCTTTTCGAAAAACTGGTGAATTCTCTCACCGCCTCTCTTCTTCACTTGGCCCTTCTTTTTGCTTTTCGCCCCCCCCCAAAAAAAACATTATCCTCGAGTCAGTAATTCTGTTAAATGTGCAGCGTTCACGAGCACGATTCGGCCGGAGAAAGAAACGTCGCCCGCTTGCTTGGCAGTTTGAGCCGAGGCCAAGTGTGTCGAAACGTCGACCATGACACCTCAGGAAGAACCTGAAACAGAATAGGTCAGAGGTGCTTGAGTGTTTTTACTTGACACGTTCTTCTTATTTAGGAGTTGACAGTTGTAAGATTTCGTCTTGGGGTTTATGACATCACCTGAACCTTTTGAAGGGATTATTTCTAAGCTGTCACTTCGTTTAACCAATATTCACTGTATCACAAGCATCTTGAGGGTGCCACTGTGCCCATTGGAAAGCCGTCACCGCCAAAATAGATGAAAGTGTTAAATATTCGCCCAACGTATCCACTGTCTTTAGTAACCGATGTGGTGCAGTGTTTTGGGCACTTTTATTTGAGTTAGGAAATCATAATTAATTTTGATGGTCATGGGCTTAATGCACAAATTAGAACAGGATAATTCAGTTATTTAAGTCAATGCCTGTTGTGAAACTGAACCATTCAGACCCAGCAGCAACAACAACAACAAGATTACATTTGTATAGCGCCTTTCACGTCAGGAGGATGTCCCAAGGCGCTGAAACAAGCTAGCAAGACCCTGGCTTGTTTGTTTGCGCCAGTTGTCTTAGCAGACATTAATGGATAGCAACCCGTTATGATTGAATTGCATGATTTATCCCACCGATGGAATTGATAAAGGCACTGCAGTGTAAAACCAAATCATGCAAACAAGAACCAGCCCAGCCCTTTCACCACTCTGGGTTGAGTTACCTTATCTCAACTAGCAGGGCAATAGGAATACAAATATTCGTCTTAGCATCCTGGACAATGGAAGGAAAACTTCAGCCAGAACTCTATATCTGATATCTAGGTTGGGAAGTTTGTATTGTAAGACATTGGATGAAGACAGGATTGGGCTAATTTGTGATAATCCTCATCCAATATCCACACAAATGTGTAGTAAATTTTATCTGGGAGATTGTTGGTCAGGACACCAGGAGAAACTTCTTTATTTCGAATGTTGCCTTGGAATCGTTAATATCCACCTGAGCAAGCAGAAAGGAAGATGGTTTAACATCTCATCTGAAGGATAGATGAGGTGAATCCAGTTCCACATGCACTGCTAAATCTCACCTCAAGTGACCATTCTTGATTTTTTATTATTTGACTTTCTTTGCGTTGAGTTATTGAGTCATGTTCGTTTTTGAATTATACATAAATAGGTTCACAAAGAGTTAAAGTACATACAGTAGCAACATTTTAGGTGTTACAACATTTATGATGTGATAAATCTTCCAAGGTTTCACAGTGTCATTTAAAACTTCAGAAATTTTACACGGTAGTATGACTGATGCTTCAGATCAATTTATAGTAACCAATCAGTAGTTAAAATATTGTGAAATCCTGGTACTTTGTTTAGTTGAACTGCTTGACTGATAAATGTACTTAGATATTCTTATCATACAAAAATATTGTCTTTGTAAAGGCAGAAGAAGCAGATGAGGCAATGAGCAAGTATCTTACTGAAAAGCTGTGTGCCAGAACTACATGGCTAGGGGTATGGAAGACCAATCCAGAGCTTTTCTTTGTAAAGTATGATGATGGATCGATCCCATATGTTGGTGTTTTAGTTGAGGTAGGTGTCAGTTTCAGAAGCATGTTCTAATTGAAAACAATTTGAATTAAAACAATTTCTGAAAGCTTTTTCTAACCTTGTAATTGTGTGGTCATTGGTATGTAAGTAAACATTTAGGCAGTTTAATGCAATCTAGAATGGAGAGGAAAGAAGATTATCTGACTAGAATTTAAAAGGGATGAAAATAAGTTGTTTTTAATGTGGTATTTTCAATGATTGATAAAGACCACACCTTGGTAATCTGACTGTTTTGTTACCTTCCATGATTTTCTAGGTTACATGTAGGCCTCGCCAGAGTCAATCTTCTCATCTGCGAGCTACTGTATCAATTATAGAGCCATATTCTTCTAATATCGCTAATCTTCCAAGAGAACTTGTTGAGGAGATTTTGGAAGAGTTAGATCACTGTGTGCCATTATTGGAAGTTTATCCAACAGATGACCAGGATTCTGCTGTATGTAGCATTGCGCAAGCTCTGGAGAATGTCAGGTAAATACAAAAATACGTTTCCACATTAGTCACTTTATTTCTGGATTTGTCACTGCTAATATGTCTGTTAATGGCATTTTTCAGATTCTTTTATGACTTCCTATGGAGAGATTGGGATGACGAAGAAGCCTGTGAAAATTACACTGCACTTATAGAGGAACGTATTAATTTGTAAGTGCTTCCAAAACACTATTTCCAATAGAGGAGCATTTGAGACAGATGCAAAATGTGCAGATAAGCAAAGTTCTTGGGCAATCCAATAACAGGATCATTATTAATGTTATCAATGAGTCACGTATGAGTCACAACGTCTTTATTAACATTAAAATGAATCCTTATTAACCAGGCATTATAAATGCACTAGCGTAGTTTGCTTTGGTCCCATCAAGCAGAATTGGAAACACTAAATGGAGGTTTACAGCACCATGAACTGGCAGAACAGTTCTAGCAAGTGAGCTGCCTAAGCATAGAAGTTAGAAATCACTCAATTAGTTGTGGGTGTTAGAAATCAACTATTGATAACATAAATGCATTATTTGTGATATATTTTCCATTACCTGTGTTCATTTATGTTTTTTTATAATTAGATTTTATGACATTCAAGATGGGACTATACCGGGCCCTGTAGGTCAACGCTTCAAAAGAACATTAGAAAAATACAGAAACAAACGTGTGGAGCTGATAGAATACCAAAGCAATATAAGAGAGGATCCATCAGCAGCTGAAGCAGTGGAATGCTGGAAAAAATATTATGAAATTCTTATGATTTGTGGATTGTTAAAAATCTGGGAAGATTTGCGTCTTAGGTAATAGCAACAGAGTAGATATTGTTCAATATTCTAATTGTAATATTTAGTGCTAAATTGTTGCATATAAGACCTGGAATTTACCTTATACTTAACTGTACTCCCTTTCCTTTGTGGTTTACATACTCCAATCATCCTTCTTGTCCTCTGCTAAATTGAAAGTGGGCACTCCATCCAATTTGAAATCTAAGCTTGTATTCATTAATTTTGAACTGAAATGGTTAAATGGTGGGAAAAGGCAACACACAATTAAGCTTTTCCCCAATGCATACTTTTAATATAACTCATTTAGCTATGATATTTTAAAATGATTATCCTGAAATGTAGATCATGATTTAAAAAGAGTATCCTTTTCTATAATTTATTATCAAACAGTTTTAAATATCCAAAAACAATGTTAATTTGTCATCATGTTGTTAACTTGCTAATTGTAAAAAGCATCTTTGCTGATTACAACCTTCCCCCGTATCTCCCACCTAAATCAGGTTTTCACTCCATCTGTAAAGCATTTTGAGATCTCTTATGTAAAAGGCATCTTATAATTGCAATTTGTTGATGTTTCACTTAATAATAATAATAAATCTTGCATTTGATATAGCGCCTTTCACGTCTTCTAGACGTCTCAAAACGCTTCACAGAATAGACTGTAAAGCGAATCGACTATATTTGAGGGCGAAATGCGGCAGCCAATTGCGCACAGCAGTGTCCCACAAACAGTTGTGGTTTGAAGTGACCAATTTATTATTGTTTTCTTGAGGGATTATTATCAGGTGTGTGAAGTAAGGAAACTTAATTACTGCATTCGATACGGTCGACCACTCTGTCCTCCTCCACCGCTTGTCCTCCCACCTCAACCTTCAAGGCCTTGTCCTTGAGTGGTTTAGGTCCTACCTCTCCCACCGTCTTCATTTTGTTTCCACTAACGGCTTTTCCTCCACCCCCCGCACTGTCTCGTGCGGCGTCCTTGGTCCCCTCCTCTTCACCCTCTATGTGCTCCCCCTTGGTGACATCATCCGCAGACATGGGGTTAACTTCCATATGTATGCGGATGACACCCAACTCTACCTTTCCTCCTCTACCCTCAACTCCACGACCACCGATGTCCTGACAGCTTGACATCAAGTCCTGGACGAGACAACTTTCTTCAGCTCAACGTGCGCAAAACAGGCCCTCCTGATTGGCTCGCGACAGCGCCTCTGCACCTCAGGCGCTGACAGCATCAGCATCCAAGGCTGCACTCTCCACGTCTCAAAGCCAATCAGGACCCTCGGTGCCCTGTTCGACCCTGAGCTGTCCTTTCTTCCCCACATCCGCGCCATAACTGGCACCGCCTTCCACCACCTCCGCAACATTGCCAGACTACGGCATTACCTCACCCCTCACGCTACTGAAACTCTGGTCCACGCCTTTATCACCTCAAGGCTGGACTATGGGAACTCTCTCCTCGCCGGCCTTCCCGGCACCTCCCTCCACACTGCAGGTCATTCAGAACTCTGCAGCTCGTGTACTATCCCGCACCAGGCTTCGCGACCACATCACTCCCACCCTCGCTCGCCTCCACTGGCTCCCCATCCCCCAGAGGATCGAATTCAAGATCCTCATCCTCACCTACAAGGCCATTCACGTCCTTGCTCCCTCCTACCTCTCCGACCTACTATCCCCCACGTACCTGCCTGTACCCTCCGTTCCTCTGGCTGCTCCGTCTGCTCCACATCCCCTGTCCTAACTGCCCTACCATCGGTGGCCGGGCCTTCAGCCTCTCAGACCCTAGGCTCTGGAACTCCATCCCCAGTGCCTTTGCCTTGTTTCCTCCCTTTCCTCCTTCAAGGCCGGTCTCAAGACCTTTCTCTTCAACCATGCCTTCACCTCCCCTCTCTACCCCCTCGTCACTCCCTCCCCTCACCCTGACCATTTCCCCCCTGCTCGGGTCCGACTCAACTGTCCAGCGCCTTGGGACGTCCTCCCGACGTGAAAGGCGCTCTATCAATGCAATCTTGTTGCCCAAGGTTTCACCAGGAATCGAAACCAGGTCTTGCTTACAAAGCGAGTACTCAACCACTGAGCTACAGGCCTTTCTCAGAGATAGTCTTAATCTATTTTTAACTCACTGTTAATCAGTGATCAGTAGTTTAAATATGTAGCAAGATTTAATATTTTGAAAAGTTTTTTTTTACTGTATCTCTATAGACAAATAGATCAAACATTTCCAGGATAATAAAAGCTAAATACGAAAAATATTCCTAAACATTGCAGAATAACTACATTTTTATTTACTATTTTTAACAAGAGCACATGGGCCATTCTTTCCAAGAGTATTGAGGCGCCGGAAAGGACAAAGACCCTCTGGAAAAATTGTAACTCATATTGTGGCCAAGATGATGACAGCTGACATGGTAAGTTACTTTCAGGACAGTAATCTGAAACAACAGCCCTAATCACACTGAGCTGTTAAACTAAAAGATAAGCAAATTTTTCTAATAAAAAGTAATAATCCTTACATTTCATATTGTGAGGACGTTTCAACGTGTTTCACAGGGTATACTGACTGTAGTGACTTTGTTTTGTAGACAAACAGGGCATCCAATTTGTACAGCGATGTCCCAAAAAACATTTAGGGGATTGTTGGCCAGGCCACTGAAACAAACTGCCTCTTATTGAATGTTACCATGGGATCTTTAACGTCCACCTCAACAGGCAGATGGGACCTTGGTTTTACATCTCATCTGAAGGATAGAATTGTTGACGACGCATTGTTCCCCTGGCATGTTTAATTGTATCCAAAATGCAGTTATTGTGGTTTCATGAATGACTGTTGTCTACCATTGTACAGGAGTGTTAACTGCTCCACACTGACCTTAGATCGAAGTCCTTCGAAATTCCTCAGAAATCCACTGTACTTTTTAGTTGTAGTTCAGAGGGTTTGTGCAGGCTGAATGAATGAGGAACACTGGTAGATAAGATCACTTACCATACTCATTATCAGAATTTTTGATACTGCTTTGGTAAATTCCTGTGCACCAAGGTGAAACAAGGCAGCAACTAGGCAATCAATTTTCTGACAGGTAAATATGTTTCACCCCATCTTACACCTGATATGGGGAGGTAATTCAAGATTATTGTTCAGTCAGAGGCATATTTTCATCATGTTCAATGCAAAAAAATGTTGTTACAGTTCTTACTTTCTACAGGTTAAGGATTTTTCTTCTAATACGCTGATTCAACAGCATGACAATTTAGATGCAGCCTTGGACAATTGCTTCAGTGGTGACACAGTGGTCATTTTTCCAGGAGAATATCAGGCCTCAGGACTTGGAATGCTAACTGATGATATCATTGTTAGAGGTATATTTTGAAGCAATACATGCTTTCATTTTCAGGTGCAGGTTTGAGGAGAAATAATCTTGAGTACAATTCTCATGCATCAGATTTGTACACAAAAGGTGATTCCTTTGAGGATTGCTATTTAGGAAAAAAAGGAGAAAAACAGAATGTTTCTTCTAAATTGGAAATGATTCCTGCATTAGTTATGTGGCATACATTACCTCTATTAACAGTTCTGCATATTTCTCAGATGGTGGCAAATGGCCTACATTGTGATATAATGTGATCATATTTGAGGGTGCTTGTTGTAGATATCATGAGGTCTCAGCAGGTTCCTAAAGACACATTGATTAGTTTAAGATATTGGTGCATATGTGATAGGTTTGGACAAATATAATAGTAAAATGTATTTTTTTATAAAACATTGATTGGAACTTGACTAAGTACTTTTTATTTGTTTTAATTAATAGGAGCTGGCAGCCGGGAAGAAATTGTAGTCTTTTCAGATCCCACACAGGACAATTTTGTGGCATCAAAATCCCCAAATGTCTGCTTAGTTCACCTGACTCTCGTGCAGCGGGGAACTACTGATGGAATTGTGGTTGTGGAGTCTGGTCACTTGACACTTGAAGATTGTGTATTGAAATGTGAAGGTACTGGCGTTTGTGTTCTAACAGGAGCAGCTTTGACCATGAAGAATTGTGACGTGATGGGTGCCCAGGTATGGTCAAGTATAATAGAAACCAACCTTTAAATCAGTTGATGTGATCTTTATGGAAATGGCAGCCAGAGCATCAGCTTCCATAGGTCTGTCTCATAGGGATTTGATCCTAATACTACTACAGATATAAGTTCAGAATATATGGTGAAAGGGGGGAGGCATCTAGGCTGTCATTAAGGGACAGATTTTTTTTTCCTTTTCTGATACAGAAGAGGATAATAAAAAGGGGAATAATTCCCAATTGAAGAATATCCTCAAGCTTCCATATCTACACAATTGATAATACATATAATGTGAATCAAGGCAGATAATTTAATATCATCTGTCATTGCAGTGCTGGAAAAGTAGAAAACACAATTGGCACAACTCAGTACCAAAAGCTGAATTACAAAATTATTTCTTCTGGGGCTCAATTAAAAATTGGATTTTTTTTTCTCCAACTATAAGTTTCACTTTCCTTAGTTTTTGGTCTCTACAAAAATCTGCAGTAGTTATGTATCTATGTATGTTTTACAGATTGATATGCATTGTTTGCAAAGTTCACCTTTCACTCCCCATTTTAACAGGGACCAGGGGTTGAACTATACCCAGGAAGTGTTGCATGTTTAGAAGGAAACGAAATTCACAAGTGCAGTAACATTAAAAATACAGATGTTCTCAAAAGCATGTTGGGAGGAATTAAACTGAAGGTAAATCAATTGTTAATTTTTACTTTGATAAAATATTGTTTAAACTAATTTGAAATTAAAAATGTAAATTATTCACTAATGGAGACTACAATGCATTTAAGTATTTTGGACCCAATTTCTCAAAAGTAAAAAAAGTCAAGCATACCCACAACCTATTGTTCGATTGAGGTCCTATCAGTATATTCAGAAAGTAAACCTTTTATATCGACAGGATTTGTTTGTACTTCTGTGCTTTTATCTTGGGGGATTGGAGGACTGTGAAGGAAATTATTGTAGGGCTGCCTCTGGTATTTTGCTAGATTAATGCCACCTTTTTCTAGGTTCTGCCACCACCAAAGCTGAAGCTCAACAACAATTATGTCCATTCTAATAATGGCTATGGGATCACCATAATCCAGCCCGATGACAGGCACTGCCATGACTCAGAAGAGGAAGTACTGGAATGTGCTGCAGGAGGTGATAAAAGAGAAGAGGATTTTCTGGTTAAAGCAATGCAGGATATGAGTCTTGAAATGAACAATAATAAGCTTGAAAACAATACAATGGGAGAGATAGGAGTCATTGTTTGTTAATTACTCTGACGTGAAGATATATTGCAGAGTTAGAAACTCTGTTTTGTTTAACATTCTTACCTTGACTCAAAAATATATTTGTAATTACCTGTTCAATAATATTTGTTTCATAATATTTTATTGGGGAATTAAAAAATTGACATTTTAGAACAGTTCAAATATAAATGCATACAATAAACTGAGAATGGTTTTAAAGTTACCTCTGAACTAAGCTGTTTACACACCCACCTTGTTTATGTGTTGTGCAATAATGGTGGTCCTTATTAATCTGTGCTTCAGCTAAACTTTAAACTTGTATGGCTACACATTTTATTAACACCTTTAGCAAAGGTGTTAATAAAATTAACACCTCAACCAAAAGCGGATTTGAAACTTAAGACTAACAAGCCATACCTTTATTAGATTTCTTCATTTTAATGAAATGCATATACAAGGTTGAGAATTTTCCAAGCTTGTTACATTTTAATCTAACACCTGTAAAATGTAACAAAGCTGCCGTATTGGGATGAATTGTTGCTGATTTGGAAGGAAGCGGCAATAAAATGTCTTGAATATTCATCACAATGATATAATTCAAGGTATCAGGAAGAAGCAGATATTCAAATGTCACTGAAGCATAAAATAAAAGGTCTTCACTGCCTAACGACAGAGTATTGATCATCTATATGAAATAATGTATTTTTTCACTGTATTCGTGTATTTCAGGGTGTAATACAATATATGCATTTCAACATATAATGTGTCACTATCAGATACACTAAAATAGAATAGGATTAGTGACAGTCTATATGAGTGTGTGAATTCTGCAAATGTAAACGTTTTGTGCAAATTTAGTTGAGACTTATACGCCCCATCTTTTAAATAAAATCTGCATCAACATCAAACTTACCAATTTGGATTTAACATAACATGTAGGAGCAGGAGTAGGCCATTCAGCTCATCGAGCCTGCCCTGCCATTCAATCATGGCTGATCTTCTAATCTAACTTCAGCTAATAACCTAACCCTGCCTTATCCCTTAATCCCTTTTGCAATTAGAAACATATCTATCTCAATCTTGAATATGTTCAAGGACTAAGTGCCAACAGCCCTTTGGGGTAGTGAGTTCCATACATTCACCACCCTTTGAGCGAAGAAGTTTTTCCTCAACTCAATGTGAAAGGGCTGACCTCTGATTTTAAGGTTGTGACCCCTGGTTTTAGTTTCTCCAACCAGGGGAAACAATCTCCCACTATCTACTCTATCATGCCCTTTGATCTTATAGGTTTCTATAAGATCCCCTCTAATTCTTCTATATTCTAGAGAATATAGGCCCAAATTGGTCAGCCTATCCTCGTAACTCATCCCCTTCATCCCTGGTACTAACCTAGTAAATCTATGCTGCACCCTCTCCAAGGCCAGTACATCCTTCCTTAAATAAGGAGACCAAAACTGGACACAGTATTCCAGGTGTGGTCTCACCAGGGCCCTATCCCTATTTGTCTTATTGCATCCAAGCTTTCACATTTCCTGGAAACAAAATTAAATGGCCACCCAGCAATATTGACAAATATTGATTCCACCAGGCATCCCCTAATACTTTAGCCATTTCAGACAACCCTGGACCTGAAGGGATGGACCTTTCAGCTTCAAAGACAAACAAATTTAAGAATACAGCTTCATCTATTTTGTGTGAGTCCCCCCACCCCACATTAAAATCAAGATGAAAGAAATGTCTCCCCAAATAGTAAGATTATCTACGTTTATGATGTATTAACCTGCCTTTTCAGTAATTCCAGAGTGCTACAGTAGCCCAACATAAAAACGAATAAGTGCATTGTTTCTAGTGATGTCTCCCCAAGACAAAGGTCTGAGAACATGCTCCAGATTAAGTTGGTAAAATCTGAAATCAAACTTTTTTTTAGAATCTATCTTTTAAATTCTAATTCCCGGAGCATCATCAGTTTCTCAACAAAGGTCCGATTTCAAATTCAAAAACTACTATTTAGTGCAGTGCAAGCATCACACTTAAAATAAGCACCACTCAAATCCAGGTGTTCTTGTTCTGTAGTTGTACTTTATTTCTTTTTGTTAAAGACAACTAGAATCAAATGGAAACATTTGAAACTAGACGATTAATTACAGTTGTACTTGCTTCAGTATTCTAAATTTAGAGACGCTACAAGTATATTTCCTAATCTTCAGCATTCAAGCAGCACACTCACGTGCACATTAATCAAAAACATTAGGACAGAACGAACAAACTGGTTACAACATTTGCAAATATGTATGCAGTGTTGGCTCTTTTCTAAAAAATAATTAAATACAAAGCTGTATTACTGTATTAATCCGTAAAAATTGTGCACCAATGCAATTTTGGTCTTTTGCCCTTTTCTAATAACCACTTCTGTCTCCCCCATAGCTTCCTCCACTGCTTCCATAGCTACCTGCTCCTCCACTAGTATAACCCCCTGCTCCTCCTCCACTAGTGTAACCCCCTGCTCCTCCACTAGTATAACCCCCTGCTCCTGCACTACTGTAGCCCCCTGCTCCTGCACTACTGTAGCCCCCTGCTCCTGCACTAGTGTAGCCCCCTGCTGCACTACTGTAGCCTTTTCCTCCTGCACTACTGTAGCTCCCTCCTCCTGCACCACTGTAGCCCCCTCCTGCACCACTGTAGCCACCCCCTCCTCCTCCCGTACTACCGTATCCTCCTCCACTACTGTAGCCCCCTCCTCCGCTACCGTATCCCCCTCCACTACTGTATCCCCCCGCTCCTCCTCCACTGCCATAACCCTCTGTCCCTCCACTACTGTAGCCACCTCCTCCTCCGCCACTACTGGAACCACCTGTCCCTCCACTACTGTAACCCCCTGCCCCTCCGCTAGCATAACCCCCTGCCCCTCCGCTAGCATACCCCCCTGCCCCTCCGCTAGCATAGCCACCACTTCTGCTATAGCCACCTCCTCCTCCTCTGCCATAGCCACCATAACCACTACTTTGATAGCTGCCACCGCCACCACTGTAGTAACCTCTAGAGCCACCATATCCTCCTCCACCTCTTCCATATCCTCTCCCCCCCCTATAACCAGAACCTCTTACGCTAAATCCTTGGCTGTCAAATCGTGCCATTTTGGGAGGACGAGGACCATCACCAAATCTGCATTAAACCAAAACAGATTATATAAGCGCTGAAAGAAACTAAAACCGAGTAACATCTAAGGGTAATAAAAATATTGGATGGGAACAGTTTCTCATAATCAAGGTAACAGAAGAAAATAGAAATTGCTGGCAAAAAGCAATCTACCCCTCTAATAATTGTTTTCCCCTAAATTCGTTTAGACTAACAATGTGCAAGGAAAACCTTTCAGTATCAATAATGTTTGGCATCGCCACTGGTTAAGCAGATTGATAATCAGATTGCTGCAAAAGACTGGCGATAAAAATTGCAATATCTTTATCTGCAAGAAAATGTTCACCACTGGGGGGAAAAAAAACTAGGATAAAAAACCCAAATTGACATCTTTATTGGATTACACTTTTTATTTGCTGTCAAATATATAAAGATGGCCAAACTTGATCGCACCTCACCAATAGTAAATTTTAGTTTTGCAGGCTGATAAAGTGTCTTTATAGCTGCAAGTATGCAGCATGAAACTTCTTATACACAGGCAAGCCCAGAAGTGTGCAACAAACCTCAGAATTCATTTTAACTTTGAAGTTAGGACTAAATGTTCACTCAACCATTGCAGCTGCAGGGAAAATTAATGAACTTTGTGGATTTTGTTGTAGTTTGTGGACATTTCTATTTGCCTTTTCCCATTAAAAATTACTGTTAAAAAGCAGCTTGGCTTATAGTTCTGCCAGAAGCCCTTTTGAATATAGGTGTGATAACTGCTTTTGAACTATTACTATTTTAGTTCCAAAGCAGCATCACAATTTATCCAAAGAACTGTCTGAAATCAATTGGAAGGTCTAAAAAACACGTGGTTAGAATTACAGGTTCAGACTGCTCGAAAATGCAGCAAAAGTATCAGAAGAATGCAATTTACCTTGCATTTGACAGGAGGTTGATGCCTGCTGCTCCAGGCTTTGAAATCTGACGGATCATGTTCAGCATGCGTTCATGTGTGGGATCCATTTGCCGTATGAATTCAGGATCCTTTGCAACTTCAACTACTAGTGCCTCCATGGCTGCACGTAAAGCAACAATTGCAGCAGCCGCAGTGTGAGACATCCGCAGCTTTATCCTAAAGCAAGACATTATGAACAGCATGTAATGAAAAATAGTAACCGTGGACTGAAGATTGAATGGAGTCTAAGCTGTTCATCGCAGATCTGCGGATTACGAGGACAAGAAAATTCTCAGAAACTAGCCTGGGCAAGTTACCTTCCAGCTTTGTAGCCAAAGTGCAACATCAAAAGTAATAGATTCCCCCCCCCACCCTCCCAAGTACATCTTATCAATGAGGTCAGTTACTTTTAAAAGAGTATTGTAATATGATAAGCTTGATATTTTCTTCTATCACTTGATGGTACTTTTAATAATCAATCCTCATCCAACTCACAAAATGAAATCATTCTCAAGCAGCAAAATTACTTGCAGATTCTCCCTGCATTTTCTCCAGCTTTCCTGAAGGGCTGACTTGTATTGAATTAGCCCAAGCAACTAAATTTGCATAAATAAGGCCATGAACCTGGGACGTACCAGGTTTGAATGGCTGCTTCACTCCAGAAAGGCAACTCAGCCAGAAAGAAGGGAACCACTACATTTTGAAGCTTGTTAAGCCCACAAAATTTATGGCCAATTTACTTTACATTTGATTCTGTGAAGCGCTTTGAGGCATCTCAATGATGTGATAAGGCGTTATATAAAATACAAGGATTATTATTATTTTAGAATGCAACTAAAGGGATAGTAGAATGGTCACCTGTAACAATAGCTCTTACCACTCATCCATCAAAACGATTGTGCCATCTGACATCACCTTCTTTGAGCCATAGAATAGGAGCTGGAGTGGACTCACCAAAGTCATCCCTTTTGCAGACACAGCCCGAGTGCGAATCTGAAGAGGAAAGCACAACATCAGTTCCAATTTTTGGGAAGTCAGAATCTACCACAAACCGCAACCATAATAAAACTTCTCCCATGCAGGAAATTGACTATTCTGTCTATTCAGTACTGCTTTTATTCAGGATTACTGAATAGACTAATGATACCCAATTATCTAACCATTCTACAAACATATTATACACACAATACCCACAACAAGAAGTTACAAACACTACATAATCTATGAATGTTAGACGGCTGATTCTTCTGCTTCATGAACAGATTTACTAGTTTGCAGCTGTATAGTTCTAACTTTCCCTCAAAAATCTATTTAATCCAAAGAAAACCTTTCTTACAATAAGATAACATTTGAATAGCACTTTTCACATTCGCAGGACGCCCCAAGGCGCTGTGATATTCTTCTTCGGACATTGACTCAGTTCTTAAAGACTGAGATATTTACAGTTCAGGAATTAACTTTTTGCTGAATTATCTGTCAACAAAGCCTCCTTCAAAGCAACATTTTTAGGGGAGAGAAGAATAGGGAATACTGTAGCATACAGATCCCATTGTACTATTATAATAATAAATAATAATTATTATTAATAATACTATTAATGCTTTTAGCAAACAAAACTTCTTTAAAAAAAAAGCAACCATCTTGTGAAAATCTAGTTTGAACAACCAAATGCTTCTTGTACTGAAACCATGTTCAGGCTGTTCAGCACACACAGTGTCCATCGAATAGAAAGAAGTTTGTTGCTTTGCTCACCTTCTCCCCAAACACAAAGAAAGGGGAAGGGTACTTCATATCTTGGCTACTGAAGGGACAATTTACAGATGATTTATGGATAAGTGCATTGCGCCCTTCTGTAGTTAAAATTTTTCTCTTCTCCTTGTGATAGCAGACATTGGGATAAAGACCAAAGCAGAGGAGTGAGATCACCACATCCAGATTATTATCTGGTCCAGTGTTGTTAAATACTTGAGTCATCAGGCTCTCTGTTGGGAAGGAAAGCAAAGCTGTTGCTCCGTATTCACAATACATTGGAAAACCAGATACATGATTGGTTTCACAGCATCATTATTTAAATAAGCCCCTGTATGCAAACAAAAAAAATCCTAACTCTGCACTATGTCACAAATATAACCGCCAGACGACAAATATAACATGCAAAGGCCAGCATTTCAAGATTCTCTTGGCTGCCTCTGACTTAGAGTAAGGATCCATGATCTTCTGGATCTTATCAATATGTAACGATTGTGTGCATGCAGTGATCATGGGGGAATCTTAAACAAGCCACTGAGCCCCACAACTCTAGTTTGAGTTATTAGCAGACCATGTCCCACTAGACTTCCATGAATATGTTTATCTTTAAAAGGCCTCTCCTTTAGCAAGGCAACACACTGGGAAGATAACAATAAAAGGGAACAAGTTTACATTATCTCAACTGCATGATCAAATGTTCTCCCATCTCTTTTGGCGATGTCAATTCTTGTTGAAACAAGATTTCACGAAAACTGCTCGTGTCAACCTGCATGTACTACAATTAAATGGCCACTCTTCCCGTGTGAGCCCTGGCAATGACGTTTTGCCAGCCAGTGTAGCACAACCGAACCGGATCCCATTCTCACTGTGCTTTCCAGCATGGATTACAGGACAGTGATTAGGAGCAGGACCCTGCGCTCACTGATTCCTCTCCTCCATGACTCAGATAGTGAGGGAGTTGGAAGAGTATCATCTGCTGTACCAGCTGAGATTAGCTCACCATCAGAGAATGAGAATAAAATCCGTGGATGTCTGATCTATACAACATGGTGGTGCTTTAACCAAAAGTACTTGCAACGTTTTAATAATTCTAAGATTTTTACCAATATGAACTAATTTTACAGTCATCAGCATTACATTCCATAAGAGCAGTTTAAGAGCCTCAATCTTATTTAATCTTACCTTCAGGGAAACCAGCATTAACCAGGATATCTTTTAGTTGTACCTTAGCCTCCCAGGTCATTCTCAAGGTGGCAATGTTAAGCCTTTTATGTTCACAAAACCTTATTTCTGCCTCTTCACCTCCCATCCTAGCAAGTAACAAAATAGCAAACATTTATTAGGTGATGAAATGCACATCAAAATAAATTGAACAAAAGTAGAGGAGTTTATGTAAACAAGGACACAATGAAGTCACATTTAAGTTAAATCCGAATCACAAATAGATTCCTTAAGTAACCATTATTACGTCATATTATGCAAGTACATATCATCCAGATCAGAATTCCCATAAATTGGCATAATCTACCAGAAAGGCAACTCAAAAGAAAAAGAAACATCTGCTGTCCCTGATACTTCAACGTACATGTTTTAATGCTTGAAAATAAGATAAATTCTGGTTAAAATTTTTATGTACAACAGGTGATTTTTATTTTTAAAAAAAGGGAAGTTGATTGCCAATAGGAATGAGCAACATCTAAGCAAATGGAAGGTACTACATGCGCAACCACATAACTTAGCTGCACAAGTTTGGATCAAATTTTACTCTTTTATAAGTTAATAAATCAGATTCTATTCAATTCCATTTCGCATAACTTGTTTCCATTGCATTTCAGAATTGGCATGCTCAGCAACGGGATAAATGAATATTTTCGTACAACTCCATTTATTTTGGCATTGCTTTTTAATTTATGCTGCCTTCCTTCCAGCATAAATAATATATATAAATAATAACACATAAATGTGTGTGTTGGCACTAAGGAACTGATGTGGGAGAAGAGGCTATTCATATCAGAATTTGGTGGATTACAACATTGTCCTTTGATTCTCAGTCTCAAGACCAAAGGAATAGTCAGGAAAAGCACGGTGCCATAACACAATCTGTTTGCACATTAGTAGTCTGACAGATACCTTGCATCGTCCCAGGCCTGGAAAACTGAAAGCAGAGCCACATGATCTGAGAAACGGGTTCCTGCAAAGTTCCGGTGCATGTAACCAAGTCGTTTACCTTCATTAATAAAAGGCTCTGGAAAACAGGTGGCAGCAGATATGGTGCACACAGCATCCCCAACACTGCAACAGAAGAGTCAATCAGTAACATGCCAATCAACAATATTAGCTTCCAAATTAAATCCACAACAAATGGTTAAAAATTACTGCACAAATGTTAAAACTAGTATGCGTATCTATAATCTCCCCTGCTGCATCCCACCCACACATCAGACATTTCCGCTGGCAACTAATCCCAGAACATTGTCTGTTTCTTTGTACTTATAACTTCCAGTTTTTTGGAAAAGGAATTAGAAAAACTTTTAGTCCACTCAGTCCCCTTGGTGCACCGTATCTGGATTTGAAAAAAATCTTAAACTACAATTACTCCTCAAGGTGGCAGTCAATTCCATACATTGATCTTGTGTGAAGATTTTTAATGTACTGATTGTTTAACCCATAAATGTTCCAAGATTTTGACAATTTAGTTTTACACTAAGTGCCTTGGCTACATGGACCTACCCCTAACCTGTCCGCGTCCCAACCAAGCTCAGATTCTAGCTGCCCTGCTTTGGGAATAGTTCAGCCTACAAACTGAGCACAGTGGGGATTGAACCTTGCCCTTCCCATACTGTGATGCTATTGTTATGATTCATGAGAAATTTCAGATGCAGATGTTATAAAATCTCTCAGTAACCTCGTTACCTCCATTCTGCCCTTTGGCACCCTCGTAGACCACGGACAATAAAGCTTTCTTGTTATTCCGCTTTGCTTATGAAATGTAACAGAAACATAGCACAACACACGAGGAAACCCAGCTAAATGCTCACTACACTGCCAAACCATTGCCCACATCACACTCTCAGCCTCAACTCACTCTTGTGTACAATGAACAACAAGCATAGGATGATTCAAGTCAGGCAATTTCACTGCTAAGCATAAGTTGAAAGACCTGATTTTTTTTTAAAAAAAGACTGATTTCTGGGACCACCGAAGCACAGCAAACTATCTTAAATTCTTGAATTTAAAGCTCATTTCTACCAATCATTTTAATAAATCTGAAAAATAGTGTCCTATTGTAGTCGAGATTGAGGGGGCCAACAACAGATAGGACATGCAGTTCACAGTATTAGGGGGAAGATACAATAGAGGAATTATTCCAAGAGTGACTCTGGTGCTTTTTCTGCCTCTATAGTAGTTCTTTGTTACTCACTGGAATATACAACCCATTATCATCATCTTGCCAAGACGTGGTTCAATTGGGAGCCTTGCCAAGATTCGGCCCAGAGGTGTCAGTTCATCATTGATGTCGAGGGCATCAAGTTCTAAGAAAGATAAACAACACATTTAGATTTTCCAGTTGTGCAGATTGGATGCACTATTATACATAAATTAAGTATTAAAACAAAGAACCAACTTATTAAAAGATGTCAGAATTGGATCAAGATCAATTTCTTACATTGTAAACTGGTGAGTTTATCAGATAAGAGAGTTACAGCAGTCCTAAATGAATGTGACCCGCTACAGAGTTGACTATAATCTAAAAGAATGACAGTAGTTCCTCTTCCTGAAGCAAATGACATTGGGAAGCTTTAGATATTTAGGAGTTTAGGAATATTAACGAATAAAAAGTGAGAGGGTTGCAAATCGATGGAAACATGGAGCTGTGTTTATTTTTTTTTTAAAAAGACAATATATAAAAGGGTGACCTGAGAGAGTTTGATTGTGAAGGAATGAGGTTTGACTACATTAATGTGACTGGGCGTTACCTCGCAGAGTGTGTTCTGCCTCAATAACTGCATCAAGTGGTGGGGGCTCAATAGCTTTTGCCAAGAATGGTCCAATTCCCCCTAGACGAAGAAGCTTGATGCTCAGAGCGACTTCATGAAGAGGTGTACGGAATATCTCTGGAGTCATGTGGGTTTCAAGTCTGAGAAACAGGCAAAAAAAAGTCAAAGGTACTATTCACAACATACAGTGTGCATTCTCAGAATTCCATAAAGACTCAAATAGGAACATATTTCAGTACAGTTTGACAATAGTCAATTCAGCCAATCTTCTCACACATGCTGGAACTCAATCCTGGAGTCCCTTGCTCCCTCCCTTATCTCGTTCATCTTAAGACCCTTTGGCCGGCCGGCCTCTCTTTCAGTAATCTTTCCCCTCTCCTACCCTTTGGGTGCCACATCTAGCTCAGGTGCCCAGCCAGGAGTGTTCAGAGCTTTGAGACATCCTCCTGACACGAAAGGCATTGTATAAATGTAAACTGACTTGTTTTGTTGCTCTGCCAGTAATAGCAGTCCAGGAGATTCTGCTACAAATAAACAGTAGGCTACATGGAAATGCCAATGTTAAGCTTTAGACTACAATTGGTCTCCTAACCTCTCAAAGCGTGCCCTGCTGCACAGATGGTAGCAGAAGCCAGGCCGTACACGTCCTGCTCTGCCTCGTCGCTGTTCCAGATTGGTCTTGGAAGCCCACACTGTAGCATAGTTGGTCATGTTGTTATGAGATGTGAAAAGCTTCACTTTTTGCCTGGAAAAAACAAAGAGGTAAATCCAAAATCTAATAACTGGCTGCCACTGCAAACAAACTTGGGTCCCAACAGTCTGATAGCCATTAGTTACAAATACTCCAAATTATCTCTGAATGAATGTGACCCGCTACAGAGTTGATTATAAATTTTTTACACATTGCAAAGTAAATAGACTCATCTTTCATACAGACCTTGAAAACTATCTTTTAACAAATTTGTAAAACACATTAGGTTCAGTAAGCTTACTAAAGTCTCAGCTACCTCTACGCAGAATCCTACATCCAGAGAAACTGGTCACTCACTTGCATGAATCAATGACATAAACCACATCATTAATGGTGATACTGGTTTCTGCAATGTTTGTTGCCAAAATAACCTGCAAATAAAATGGGACAGGATTAATCCTCACCATTTAAGGAACTTCACAAACCAGAGTACCAAAGTGATATTCCCACTCACAGACTGCACTTTCTTTGAAGTTGTTAAAAGTAATTGATTAGTATTAATTTCTTAAAATACTGACACCTTCGTTTTCTAGAAGATTCTCAATTACCCGAAATGTTTCGAACACACAAAACAAAATCGGGAGAATAACAAGGTCAGTTTCTTATTCTTCCCACTCCCCCTATCAAACTACCACCACTACATTACACCTGTATAGTGCCTTCACATCAGGGAGACACCCAAGACGCTGGACAGTCAAGGATTAGGACCCGAGTTGGGATCAGGAGGGCAGGGAGGAAGGGATAGGAGGGTGACCGAAGGCGTGTTTGAAGAGCAGAGTTTTGCGACGGGTCTTGAGTGAATTAGGTTATTATTTCCATCTTAGAACACTCATATTGCTCAATTACAATAATCTAACCTTTATGACGCCTGGTGGCACTGGATCAAACACACGTCGCTGTTCTTCCCTCGGAATCTGGGAATGCAACGGCAAAATCCGATACCTGTGGCTGCCTGCAGGGGAAAAAAAATGTTAACCTGGATATAAAACAGCACTGCAATGAATTATAAACAAACTTAGTTTACACTAGTCAAGTAAATAGAAGTTTGGGCAAATGTGGTCATTTTACCCTATTACTTTTGTTAAGATCCTCATCCTCACTTTCAAAGCCCTCCATGGTGTTGCTCCTCCCTATCTCTGCGACCTACTAACATCTTACCAACCTTCCCACTCCTTCCCCTCAGCAGACACTGGCCTGCTCCACGTACCCCACCCTGCTGGCGCCATCATCGGCAGTCGGGCCTTCAGCCCCCACCCCCTAAAACTCCATCCCCGAATCCCTTCGCCTTGCCCCACTATTGGCTCCTTCAAGGTCCATCTCAAGATCTCGCTCTTTGACCATGCCTTTTGTCATCCTCCCATCCCTACCCCTCTTGATTCCAACCCCCAGCTTGGGTGCTAATCCTTCACTCTCCACTGCCTTGAGACATAATTTCACAATTTGTTGTTGCCCACAGATATTATGTATCTCTTAGCATATCCGTTTATTGATACATTCAGTTTTTCATGTTATCACTGCTTTCTTAAGTTATTTCGGGGCAGATACAAAGTCCCACAAAACATGAAACCGTTCAGCCACTCTGCCCCGAAACTCTGGAACTGTCTCCTCAGTCACTCCACCTTGCCCCACTTCCTCCCTTCCCACTTTCAAATCTCACCTAAAGACCTTCCTTTTTGATTGTGCTTAGTCACCTCCCGCCTCCCTCTCTCTCTGGCTCAGCATCAGACTCCACTGTCAAGCGCTCCAGGACGCTATATAAATATGTGAAGGGTGCAGTGGGACTCCAGTATAAACACCAAGTCATCAGTGTAAAACGGACAGAACTGAAGCATAACAGAGACACATACCAAAGTGAGGGTTTGATTCCAGATGTCTCTGCATTGCGAAAATCAAGTTCCAGCCTGGCAAGAAAACGAGAACTGCACCATCCACACCATCCAGTGTCTCAATGTACTTGAGCAATGCTTCAATAAGCTCAAATGGCGTCTCCTTCTCACTCATCTGGGCCATAACACGCTTCGTTTCCGGACCATAGTCATCACTGCAGATGCTGTTACAATTCACCTAGCAATACAGACGTTGACCTTTACAACCTGGGAAACGTGGGTCCAGCAGCAATATTCAAATTATTTAAACTTGGACCAGTACGTGTTGAAATCGGGGATAAGAGTTTTCTAATCCACTGCCTCATATTGAGTAAGTTCAGGAAAAACACTGATTACTGAATAACTTCCTCCTTCCCCTTAGTGCACAGTTTTCAACCTTTTCACACATGAATTAAACAAAGAAATCTCTCTTGTCATCCCCCCTCCCCAATCAGTAAGAAACTTATTGCTATTTGTTTTAATTTATATTTGCCAATATCAGGAACTAATCTTTCAAAAGGATATGAGGCAGTTGTGGATCAGTTTATCCACATACATCAAGTTGCTCTGTAGGTTAGCCTACTGCACTAAACTATAGTAGGGTTGTAAATTTAAATTATATCAGGTCAGCTTTGCTTTCAAATTTTACAAAAACATTACTGCTCCTTTTTTGAAACAGAACACTCCCATATGCTGCAGCTGTAAATAAGTTGCTATTCAATGGTCCTTCAAGCGGTGTTCAACTTACTTTCCTTATCCAATTCATAGTCTCAATTATCACCACGTGTAATAAAATAATAATAATCCTTGCATTTGATATAGTGCTTTTCATGTCTTCTTGAAGTCTGAAAGCGCTTCACAGAATATACTGCAAAGTGAACTGACTATATTTGTGAGTGAATTTTGTATCAGTGCTTTAATTGGGCTGAAAAATAGTTTGCGGTTTCATTTTGAAGTTGACTGAATAGTTTCTAACCAATAATGTGAATAGTCTCAATTTGTACCTCCTCATCTTCTCCTCCATCCTCATCTCGGTCCTTTTTCTTTTTGTCCCTTGGCGGAGGGATGAACTGAGTCATCTGCACGCAGTCTTCAAGGAAATATTCTGGAAGAACAAAAGGTACTTCAGCTAGTGGAAAGCAGCAGGCATACCTCAAAGCTTTAAATAACTATGGATATGAAGAAAACCTGAAAAGGCAGGTTATCCTTTCTAACAATAAAAATCATAGGGGTTCAATTTTGCAAAGCTCACCTAAAAAGTACACAACTATATTCTACAGTAAATCCTTGAAGTGCTTTGAGACACTCGCCAGATGTAAAAGATGCCATCTCAAATACAAGAATTATTAATAATAAAGGGCAGTGTATGCACATGTATTTCAAACTGAAGTCTAAAAATACTCCCATTGAATTCAACCTCAAAATTACCCTTTTGTATACATATAATGTAAAAAGCTCAGATATACTTTGGGAACAAAAATAACTTTCCAAAGTAAAATAAAGAAAACACAACATGCTTAGATGTGGCATTTTGTATGAATAAATATGAAGCATAATTATTTCAATTCGGCGGAGGGATGAACTGAGAAATACAGATTTTCCACAATGGTTTTATGACAGTGAAAAATATAAAGGTAGTTTCACACATCTTCCTTCCTTGAGAAGAAAAATTCAAAATATCTTTTATTTTTGTACATGCAGAAACTCATCACCATGCTTTGACACAAATCCATCTCACTGCTTGACTCTGCCAATTCTCCAGCACGCATGGAAATGTATGAAAGTAGGATACTACCTGAATATTATTAGAAAGTTCTGACTCGTTGATTACAATTTTTATCCAACCACGGCTACCCAACTAGGTGTATTAGGTGTATGAACAATGCGTTTGGTTGAAATTGTGGCCATTGAAAATAACAGATTTAAAGCTGTCTTAAGGATCCTTCAATTGAAGAAACATCTACATTGACTATAACTCACCTTGAACAGGGAATGTTCTTCCAAACACCTCTATTATTGGACAGTCGAAAAAATATTCTCTGAACATGGTGGTATCAATAGTTGCAGACATGAGAATGATACGGACATCAGGATAAGCCTGGACAACATCCCTCAGAACCACAAGAAGGAAATCCGTCTGAAGGACAAAACAGGATCATTTTAGTTTAACAAACAATGTTCACCAGATAACATTGGAAGATGGGTGTGTCCATCAAATCTATAATAACTAAAAAAAAGAAAGGATTTGTAAATAAATAGATCTACATTATAATGTGAATATATTTTTGCTGGCTGTATCCTATATGTTGAGGACGAGACAAAAAAGAAATGAAGAAAATTGCTCAGCAGAAAAAAATAAAAATTAAAAAGCTACATTATAGATCCATGTGAAACCAGCTAACATTACTCACATTAATATCTCGCTCATGGATCTCATCCACTATTACATGGCTGATGCCCCGAATGCCAGCTTCCAATTTCCTCAGGAGTACACCTGAAAGATCATAAGTCACTTTCTTTAAAAAAAAGCACAAAGCTGCTTATTTGGATGCATAAATCCAATTCACATGCTGGTATATGTCACCAAATCGTTGACTTTTTTTAAAATCTAAAACAATTACAACTCATCTATTAAAAGTTAAGAACCCTGCATTGACTTATGTTGATGTGCCAAAGATCTCACAAAGGCTCAATCGGTACATACACTGCCATAGCATAACTGGGTTATATGAAACAGAAAGGTACGACATCTCTACTCTGATGAGTTAACTGATCTGAGCTGCAGTTTCTGGCTCCTGATCGCTACACTCTAAGGACGAAAACTTTGAATTGGACTTTGAATAAGACAGGATCTATTTGAGCTGCAATGCTGCCTCTCCAAAGCCAAACAACAATATGCATCAGTTTTCCTCTCAAACTGCTAAAAAGTGCAATTTCCCTGACCTTTCGGACCTGGAAATTACGTTTAACAAGACAGTGGTTTATTGTTTGATCTCTACCTAATTGCTTTCTTACCTTTCGATTCCTATTCCTTCCAGAAATGCATCTACTCATCTCTTGTACCCCTTCATACAGCTTCATTCAATATCTTTCCCTGGTAACTTATTCAACATTTGTAAAAATGTTGTGCCTCACTATTTTTACCCAGGTTCCTAGAATCCTTTGCTGATAACCTTCATTCAAAACACAAAAATTGCTCTTTCCGTAAGAAAGCAAGCCCAGTTTCCTTTATATCTTTCATATTAATTAATCATTTGAGGACTGCACATAATCTTATCTAGAACACAATACTAACCTACAGTACAGAACATTATGCTGCCATGGGGTCTCGGCAGCACAGATTCAAAACGAACACTGTAACCACAGCTAGTACCCAACTCTTCTCCACGTTCACATCCTACACGCTCCGCAACTGAAACAGCACTAATCCTTCGAGGCTGCAAAACAGAACAAGAGCAGTAGTGACGAAGGACATAAAGGTTTGCATCCATACACAAAAGTGTGCCCTTTCTGGGTTTTGAGGTAAAAGTTTAATCGATTACTAAGGAAGTCATTTGAACAGGAAAGACAAATAAATAAAAGGCACAAAGAAAAGTATTCGCTCATATTTAATGCCTACAAAAAGGCATACTGTAAAACATTGATTTTTTTGGTTTAATCAATTAAAAATTAAGTTTGTGCGTTTCGCCCACAAATGAGACCTGAGTTCAATTCCAGACAGGGCGAAACCTTGGGCAAGTTTCCTTACTCCACACAGAGCCTAATAATAATCCCTCCAAAACCAAAAACAATAATAAATTGGTCATTTTCAATCTACAACTGTTTGTGGGACATTGCTGTGCGCAATTGGCTGCCGCGTTCGCCCACAAATATACAGTCAATTCACTTTACAGTGTGTTCTGTGAAGCGCTTTGGGACGTCCTCCCGACGTGAAAAGCGCTATATCAAATGCAAGGATTATTATTATTATAAATATAGACAATTAACTTTGCAGTATATTCTATGAAGCGCTTTGAGATGTCGAAAAAACGTGAAATGCGCTATATAAAATGCAATAATAATAAAGCAAACGGTTTTAACATTACTAAGGCTGTAAACACAATGTTAGATTTTGTGTAGGAAGGATGTAAAAATTCATAATATACTCAAATGACTATACAATACAGGGGGATGTTGAAGAGAATGGGGTGGTGGGGGGGTGAAAGAAGAGATAAGATGACTGAATGCAAAGTCAAAGAGTTCAGTCTTGAGATGGACTGTGCAAGTAGGAAGCGAATGGGAGGACTTCAGGATGGCATTCCAGAGAGCGGGAGGAGCATTGGAAGAAGAAAGATTTTTCTCAAATGTGGACTGAATGGTGTCAAATATATCTGACGTTGACCTCTGCTGTTCACATCTGTACAACTTCTAGTTTCTTGCGGACCCACCTGTGTGACTACAATGTTACAGTCAGAACCTCGGTTATTTTTGACGAAGTAATCGAGGATGAATTGAGGAACTTGAGTTGTTTTACCACACCCAGTTTGACCTCGAATGATGATAACTGAATTGAAGCTGATAGCTTTGAGGATATCGTCTTCAAATTTTTTCACCGGCAACAATTCTCTTTCATTCAGTATCTAGTGAAAAAAGCACATTCAGCAACATCCAGAGCTTTTTTTAAAACCCTCTCCCCAACCCTTCCAAGAATACACAATCCTAGAATTTCTAAAAGGAACATAAGGATATAATGGTGGATGGCTCTGTACAAACTTTTATAGATTTCCAGAATCTCAATAATCTCAAGCAAATGAGTAACAGTTTGACCAACTGTCATTTTACACCCAGAAAAGACCTGACATTTCAGAGTGATGAAAAGAAAGGCATTGAATGCTTCACTGGTCAATACAATTTCACAGCAAATTCGTAAATTTGTTACTTCAAGAATACCAATTTTGGTGTAATGGATGGAACTGCAACTTATGGACCAGAAGCTAACCGGTCTCATCCTGGACTGTATGGGAAAGGCTAAATTGTCCCCAACATTCCCAGGATAAGGGAGATGAAACCTTCTGTTTTTGGAGCAGCCAGGTGAGGAGAAGGTCAATGTTGCTCTCTGTCTCTGGTCTGCCAACACTTACTGCCAAGGCTTATACACAAACACTAGCCATTTAGGCAGATTATCAGAGGACAACCAGCAATTGTGGAATCACACCCCAGGAAGAGGAAAGGCAATATACTAGTGGGCAGAAAATAAGAAAAAAATAATTGGGGCACAATAAATTTACATTAAAAATACCACCATTTAAATATAAATGAAACCTTATTGGTGAGACCATGAGAAAGAATTTTCATCAGATGAAATAAACTTTTTAGAGAATTCATGATATGGATATGCAAATTATATAAGAAAGGAACCTACTTGTTGCAGGTTGGTATCATTCTGCAGCTGGTATTGTAGTTCATTCTTTAGGTCGGCGCTGATTTGCTCCGAAGTAGCCTACAAATATAAATATTTTGCATGTGATTATAAATGTGACTAGTGGAGTATAAACACTGGCATGGACTAGTTGGGCCAAATGACCCATTTTCGTGCTGTGCATTCTGAGTGAGTTGACATTAAAGAATTGAAAGGTTTTCAAGAAAAGTTCAACTATAACAAATCAATGTTTGTGCTTGCTAAACCTTCACCTTTAGTAACCCACTTAACGTACACATAGTAGGAAAGGTACTAATTAATGGACAGATGGATACTCCCTACTTGGGAGAACATAGGAATAGGCCATTCAACACTTCGAGCCTGTTCTGCCATTCAATTAGATCATGGCTGATCTATACCTCAACTAATCTGTCAATTCCAATTTACCACTTTTTCCCCATATACCTTGATTACCTGACCTACCAATTTCTATGAATGATTATTTGTATTCTACAGAAAAAATAACAAAATGCTTGAGAACAATTAAAGAAATGCAGGCTCTTACAGTTAGTTTTTAACGATAGGCACTGTTTTTGTCTACATCACATACGTATGCAAGAGGTCCTTCATCTATGTTGCTGCTGGTCCATGGATTCCAGTTCACTTGTGGAGGCGACCATGGCACAACCCCTGCTTGGCTCTGGCGAAGAGACGGCTCAAAATGAGCAAGTTTTCCAACAGTAAGTGAAACTGGATTGCTGGGGTCTTCTGGCTAGAGATCAAACATTGCAGGGTAATATTTGTAATCACTTAGTATAATTCTACAGTTTCGCAAAGTTCATTAGACACCAAACAAGCCAGTGGAAAAAAATCACAAATATGAACAACTGAAACAGCAGATTTAGGTCTCTATGTCAACCACCACAAGATTTGATTTTCTATGAATATTTGACTGTAAAATAAGTGCAAGTACAAATTGGAGGTGCCATCCTTTGGATAAGAAGTTAAACTGAGGTGCTGCCTGCCTGTTGAGGTGGATGCTAAAGATCCCACAACACTATTTGAAAAGAGAAAGGAGTTTCTCTAGGTGTCCTGGCCGACAATTGCCAGATAAAATTCGGCATTTGCTTCATGGCTGTTTGTGAGATATTGCAGTGCTTAAATTGGCTGCTGAGTGCTTACAAAATACAGTCATTACACTCTGCAACAAAATCCTGTGAAGCGTTTTGAGATGGTTCAACACATAAGGTGCTAGATAAAATGTAAGCATTGCTATTCTATGACTCTGGTCGCTCATCTTCCATTAGGTCTTCCAGCCAGTACATACCAATGATGTAATCAGCAAAGGGAAGGACAGTGAAGGCCAGATTTCTGCACTATTTCCATGAAAACATTTGTTACATTCCAACTGCACATAGTATGGCGGAATAGTCGAAGCAATACTTACTGATAATACAAGCTCCAACCCCAATTCGTGCACAGTACTTTCAAGCTGACGCTCCAATTCACTTGTAAGGTTTAAATCATATGGCGCCACCTGAGTGATAAAGGATGTCACACATTTTCAGTGTAAAAATACTAACCCGAATCAATCAGGAGAAATTCAAAAAACACTTCCCCCAAATTAAACAATTGCAACATAAAAATATTGAGAGAAAAGCAATTTCAACTGGGCACTTATCTGACAAAATGCACATGTTCAGGTGCATCCCAATCAGCAACCAGAGTGTAATGGGATGGCAATTTGCACTACATTCAGGAAAAGAGTTTACCTACTTGAAAGATGCAGAGAACTGGAAGGTGGGTCTCTAGCAGATTTGCGATTCTGCGGGAACGCCTTGTGTAAGATCACTCATTTCATAACCGCCCATCTACAAATCGCACACCTCTATTATCATGCTAACCCAAAGCTGTACTATGTTCAATTTTCCGTGCAATCAGACAACTCACCTTTTCGGTGTCTTTCTTCTTTGTGTGACCAGTGAAAGCTTCAATGATCCCTAGATGGTAAAGCTGCCTGACTAATGACAGAGCACATGACTGTGCAGCCAGTTTCTTATTTGAACCGTGTTCACGGGCACTGATTTCTTAAAGGGAAAAAAAATAAAATTAATTTCATGTTCCAGCAAGAGTTTCAGACTGATTTTTGCAGCACTCATTTCTATTAGGTGCTCAATAGAGCAGTTCAACCAAAGACAGATAAAACCCAATTAAAATCACACCAGGATGCTAATAATGTTGTTCTATTTTGTAGAGAACCCAACCACTTGGAATTACCAAGATGTCAAAATTACACCATTTACAGGTCAATGTATATCGTAATATTGTATATTAATTGAAATAAGTGTCCAGTAATGAACACATCCAGCATTGTTTATTACACCAATGACCATCCATCCCTGAAAATGAAAGAATCAAAAGGCTACCTGTACAGAATTGAAATTTTCTGTGTTTCCCTCTCAAATGTAATTATTTAACAGATATAAGATGATTTCCTTTGTTCAATATCCTTTACAAAGGAGCCTTATTTCAGTTCATTAAAGATTTCCTATTACTTTTCATCTAGAGTACCTGGGAGAAAAAGCCAGCACTTACTTCTTCCCAGCTGCCTCACATGAAGCGTCATCTCTGCAATAAAACTCCTGTAATGACATGCACAATATCAAATTAACCATAATTTCAAGCAGTGTCACAAAATAACACACAAGCGACGAAAATGATTGAATTTGATTCCATTTTCTACCAAGTCATAAAACACATCACAAATGAACATAGTTAGAACCAACTTCCGAGGCAAAGGAACACAAGTGTGGAAGACATGTAATACATTTGATATTAATTTATGTATTCACTTTTTACTTTCGGTACAAACAAAATAAAAATATGTAATATTATGTATACAGGGTACAGGAACTCTGCTTTTTCTGGAGAAACTTTATAACCCAATGTTTCACTTTTTGCACTCAAAAGGAGTTAAGGTAAATAAAACTGCCCTTTTGGCTCACATCAATATATTTAAACGTATTTTCATGCAATGTAGTATGAAACAAAAGAAATGCATGTTTCTCAACCCATTATTCAGTAGTTGCACATGATAAAACAATGCACAGTTTTCTAAGTGGGAAAATGTTGAACATACCTGGAACTAGATTCTCTTCACTGGACTGTTACAAACAGTCTGATCACAAACACAACATAGTGTGTGAAACACTAAATGTACAAGCATCTTAAATTGTGTTTTAATGCATACACGCATGCACCAAAACTGAAGCTTTAGTTCTGTGGTTCTTAATTTGCAATAAATAAATGATCTGCTGGAAGGAATTTATTTATGAATAGGTCATTCATTCCCAGAATCTAGGTCCGGGTCTTCACATTTCCCCCAGTTACTGAACATTCTTCCTTTTATCTGTGTCGCTCGCTTCCATTTCTGTATTTGGTAAACTGACCTCAAGCACAGCAACTTCACGATTCAGAGAAGCCTGCTTATAAGCCCATTATCCACCATTCTTGGATGCCAGTATGTTTCTCTGCCAAACTCAGTAAAGTTCCAATCTCCAGCAGCCCTAGGACCCCTAGAATACCTACAGGAAAAGTGACACCAGAAATCAACAGCTGTGTATACCTGCTTGTACCATCATTCCTATAATGGAAGGATACCATGTGACAGCTTAGTGCAGCCTAAGCAACGTCACATGTTTGCAAACGAGATTTCTGGTGTCACCACACATACACACATACCCTTCCAGTAAAGAGATTAGAACGAGTGACAACCTTGCATCACTTAGATTCAAGTCAATAAATGTTCTTATGACTTGGTCAAATGATTGTAGCCTACATAAACAAGTGAAACTTTCTGTAAATTACAGGAAAAATACTGTATTCAAGTACCTTTCCCTAATAACTATAGAAGGTCTGAAAACTTTTAATCACAAAACTATCAAAGTGTACATATGTTTGTCTTCAAAAAGCGACTAAGAATTCTACATTGCCCAATCACTAAACTACCAAGATGCTCAAAATAATATGCAGAACTTTATGGATTCTATGAGTTTTGGCGGTCTCGAATTTACTGCAGCTCGCATATAATACAATCCACTCAGCGGAACACATTGTACAGTGGACTCCTGGTATTTGAGTCACGTAAAATTGCCAATTTGCAGAAGTTACCAAGTTGTACTGTTGTATACAAAAAGCAAGGACCAACAGAATTCACCAATTAGCAGATGTCTACTGTATTATATTAAATGCTCTTAGCATTCATGGGGGTAGTGGATAATTACCCCGTTGAAAGCTCTATGTATCAATGCAAGCTGGCTGAGAAATATACTGGCACCATAAGTGGAATATCCCCAAATAGCTCTTCAAAAGAACAGATTTTTCCCAAAAATGCTCTTCTTGGATAATTTGTTCCATAAAGAGTTAGTCTTTAAAAAAGTTAGTCTTTTATTCAGACTGCCTTCCTTTGCAGTCGAGTTCATTAATTTGTGCATATGCGCCCATTTGGGGTTGAAAATGAGGATTAAAACTCCCAACACTTTTGATAGCCGTAAGGGCCAGCAGAACTCTCACGAATCCCTTTGCTTCAATGTTCAAGTACTCAAAGCCAACTACAAAACCTGCGAAGAAAACATTCAAAGAAGTGATATGTACATTTGGCTAACTCCTTTATCCTGCTTAATTAAACTAACTAAATATAAAAATAACAAGATTAGAATACAGCCAATGCAAAAATATTTTTAACTATTAAACTAAAACATTTGTAAAACAATGAGGCTCTTCGCTGAACTGACTGGATCAGTGTCAACTGATCAAAACCGGCAATTATTTTTGGTCTATTTAGATGTATTTGGCATTTCTACAATTCAAATGCGTTCAATCATGACAATATGGTTTACCACCGTGTCAACTATTCCAATAATTTTAAACAAGTTTTCACGAGAAAACTCGCATAAACATTTATATATTCAACAGTGAAATTTTACCAGTGAAAATGTAGTTAAAATGATATAATTTAGAATCCAGTAAAAAGTTTTCCAAAATGTAAGCAGTTCAAAAGACACAGAAAATCAGAAAGATAGTTAACAGGGGTGGGGGGGAAACAGAAAGAAACTAATATCTGGTCATCATCATGAGGAACGAAGCCTGGGTGAGAATGATTATGCAATTTCTCTAACTGACTATAGACATACACAACCAGGATATGCCAAACCTGTTGTGGTCAGGTCCAACTTGAGCGTATTTATAATCTGCTTGAATCTTCTCTTTTTGGAAGTACTGGTTAAGTTGAGCTTTGGCGTTTTCAAGGGTCCAGTTGCCGTGAAGACCAGCATTTAAATCCAGGCCTTCTGATTCCAGGGTCTTTTTGAAACAAAAGGTAATTAATTAGATATTCACCAAAATATACTTCACTGCTCACATTTCGAATGGGGGGTGGGGGGGAGGGGGCTGTACATTTTTAATGCAAAAGTATTTATGATAGAGCGAGTTTCACATTGGAAGGATGTTTCAAAGAGTGATAATTGAGATGGCTTATATGCAAATAGCTGGAGTCTTAACTTCAAATTTTGCAAAGCTCTGTCATCCTGGTCTAGTTACTTGTGCGAGCACCATAAGCTGTCTCTCATTAGCAAGGTGTCATACAGTGAACAATTCTTTACATAGTTGTCTTACTGAATATAGCAAAACCATTTGAAAAGTTCATGATACATTGTATTTGTGAAGCCACTTACTGCTTGGGCTTCCTGTTCATCCCTTCTCTCATAATACTCCTTCAGGTTGGCTCCACGTTCCCAATAACCAATGAATCCTCCTGCCTTGCCCATTCCAAAGTCAGAGTCTGCAATGGGGAAATAGGTTTTGGGGAAATAGATTTTAAGAAAAACTGATCAAAGAAAACAGAATTGTTTTCAATCCCAGTAATGTATGTACAGTAATGTATATAATGTATTCCAGCATTATCAAGTTTAATCCAGTTTTCAGTTGGAAATAAAATTCAACCTTAATTTTCAATAATCGGTACTCAGTTCTTTCATCGTGTATTGGTCAGTTTATATTAAAGATGTTTGATTAAATAAAACTTGTCATTTACTCTCTTTACTGGAGGTACTGAAATGGTAAATATGCTCAGCACAAAATGATTAAATACATCTAGAGGAATGTTCATTTATATACTCTACTGATTTTATTTATACACTCTCAATTCCTGGAAGAGGCTCAGCAATTTTTTATGTAGAAAGTGGTCTCACCCGCTTCGCTAGCTATCTGTGGAGGACATGGTACATTTGCTGGCAATGTCCCCGGCACACCACCTTCTCCGCTTCCATCGGCACCATCAACGGCATCAGGTTGAACACCCTGCTATATTAAAAAGCAACAAAATTGTTGGCATCTACAATATCTTTCTCTACACACATACATAGAAAAGACGTAGAGTTGAAAAACATTCAGAGGCCCATTACTTTCACTCCTGGCATACTTTTCCCAGTGCTATCCCTACCCAACATGAACTATACTCCCCTCCTGTTGCCAGCCATACTTCTTCAGGTTGGCTCTACGTTCCCAAGGATAGCAAAACAAAAATGCCAAGAATCCAAAGGCAATTCTGAGGGGGTTGGAAAGTAGTCTCTCCAGAAAATACCTTCTCAACCACCAAATGCAGTTAGACACGATCCATATACACATGTCAACAGGCGACAATAGATGGTTGCAAATCCTGGTAACTTCTGGCTGAGGCCATAAATTAAAAGCACAATTCTTTATTGGAGAATGCAGTGAACTTCAATATTTGATTTTATGTAATTCTTTGGAAGGGACAGGGTACAGTCTTGCAAGTAAAATAAAGACTACAAATTAAAACACCAGCTGTTTAAAAAGCTTGTTGTCAACCAGGCGGAGTGGTAGCATTCTCCCCTCTGAGTCAGAAGGTTGTGGGTTCAAGCCCCACCTCGGAACTTGGAATCACATAAGGCTAAGCTGATACTACAAAACAGTGCTAGCGGTATATTGGATGAGACCTTAAACCGAGGTCTCATCTGCCTGTTCAGTTGGAATTTAAAGATCCTTATGCACTATTCAAAAAGAGAAGGGAGTTTCTCCCGGTGTCCTGGCCAACAACTCCCCAAATAAAATTGGTCATTCACTCCATGGCTGTTCGTGGGACATTCCTGTTTGAAAAACTGGCTGCCATGTTTCACCCACAAAATACAGTCAATCCACTTTACAGAAAGAACATCCTGTGAAGTGCTTTGAGACACCAACGACATGATAAGGCGCTATGTCAAATGCAAGGATTATTAATATTATTGGCCTCAAGTCCAGAAAAATGGCAAAAGTAGAAACCTAGATCCTACTATTCCTTGATAAGTCGCATAGAATAATACACTCTGCCCTAATATGCAATACAAAGAGTGCATCAGAACGTTAGAAAGACAAAGGATAAGTGGGTACTCACAGTTGTGTTAGGAACCTCTTCTGCTTTCATCTCCCCAGTTCGCACAAGGTAATTAACAAAATCTCTTGCAGCATTAGTTTGAGCATCCTTCTTACTGGTCGAGTTTCCCATTCCAGTGTAATTAAACCCATCTACTCGCACCTAAACAAGAAAGTATACTTAAGAGAAAATAACAGTGCGCCACTTACGTATAGGCCTTTCATCTATGCAGTTAAAAAGGGATAATACCAATAACACGCACAAATTCAAACAAGGTTAACCAATATTACATTTAATTGGTTGTGACAACTTTAATGTTTGGTCTCTAACATGTTTTTGTTCCCCAATCTCAGAGCTACCAACCTCAGGCACAAAATATATGCTGCCTTGTTGGGCAACCAATGCGCAATCTACACGAAGGTATGCCTCTTACAGGCTGTGAAGATTATCAATGGTAATCATCCTATCCTCTCAAGCCTTTGCTTCTGCCAACCCGTGCCTGATACTCCACAGAATTAGGGAAGCAGGGTGCCTACAGGGAGAAAGTGTGGATTCCATTCCAGGCATAGGAATTTCCACATGTAGGTGACATTGAACTCTGTCTGGTTTGGATTTTGGATCCACTTAAGCATGGTGATGGGATTTTGCATGCACCAGACACCAGCAGATAAAACAAAAATAGTCATACCGAAAAGTTTGAAAAGATGGGTTTATACATCTCCAATATGCTTGAAACCATTTTAATAGATGCAAGTACAAAAACATTCTCGGTGAACAATGGGGCTTTTGTGACCAGAACAGGATCAACATCGTTACTACATTTGCCACGTCAAGTCATATTTAGGACAAAACAATTGATGTTAGTTCAATACATCTTACCTCACAGACGAACTTCTGACGGTTCTTGTTACCAGCTGCACGGATATCATAGTTCGGAGTGACCTTGCGTTTTCCACACCAAGCATAGAGAAAGTTTTTTATGTCAGTCATGGTTCCACCAGATTGTCAGTCACTCCCAACATCAACTGGTTGTTTCTTGTGGAAATAAAGGAGTGTAAAATGGAATAAATATTCTGTGGCATTTTGGCTTTTGTTTATTAGGTTATTTGCATACAGGCAATCTTGTATTTTGCTCTATTGATTTCAATTGTTCCAAATAATTTTGACATGGCCAATCCCTCCACTCAGTAAGCACGATCCTGCTTCACTTCCCATGGTCCTCCCCATCTCCCCTCACACCCCGCCCCTAACCATCCCTCCACACCTTCGAACCCGTCTCCCACTCCTCTCTCACCACCATTATAACCCACATGAAACCGGTCACCTGCTGCCTCGACCCCATTCCTACCCCTCTCCTTACCTCCCAGCTCAAACTCCTTGCTCCGTTATTCACAGACATCATAAACCTCTTCCTGTCCAGTGGCACCGTTCACACCCCATTAAAAATGGCCGTTTGCCATCCTCTGCCTCCTCGTCCTCTCCACTGCCGTTGATACCATTGACCACTCTATCCTCCTCCACCACCTCTCCTCTCACTCAACCTTCATGGTTCTGCCCTTGAATGGTTCCGATACTACCTCTCACATCATCTCCGCTTCACCTCCACAAACGGTTTCTCCCTTAGCCTCCGCACCGTCTTGTGCAGCATTCCTCAGGGCTCTGTCCTTACTCCTCTCCAATACATGCTCCCTCTTGGTGACATCATCCGCAGACACGGGGTCCACATGTATGTGGAAACACCAAACTCTGTCTCTCTGCCTCCACCCTCAACTCCAGGATCACTGTTGTCTTGACAGAATGTCTGTCAGACATCAAGTTGAGAGCTAATTTTCTTCAGTTGAACGTCAACAAGACCAAGCCCTCCTGATTGGCTCCCATCAGCGCCTCCACACCTCAGACACTGACAGCATCACCATCCAAGGATGCACACTCCACCTCACTGAGCCAGTCTGGAATCTTGGCATCTTGTTTGATCCTCAACTATCTTTTATACCCATATCCGTACCACGACCAGCTCTGCCTTCGCCTACATCTGCAACATCACCCGGCTCCACCACTGTCTCACACCACAGGCCGTCAAAACCCTCATACAAACATTCATAACATCCAGGCTCCAACTATGCAAACTCCCTGCTCATCGGCCTCCCCAACTCCTTCCTCCATAGGTTGCAGATCATCCAGAACTCTGCGGCCTGTGTCCTCTCCCACACCAGGCTCCGTGACCCTATCCTCACCTGACTCCACTGGCTTCCCCTCACACAGAGGATACAGTTCAAGATCTTGGTCCTCACCTTCAAAGCCCCCAATGGCCTTGCTTCCCCCCACCTCTTTGACCTCCTAACCCACTACCAACCTACCCACACCCTCTGCACTAAGGCTCCAGCCTGCTTCATGTCCCCGGCCTCACCATTGACGGGCAGGCCTTCAGCCACCCTGAACCCACCCTCTGGAACTACATCCCGCAGTCCCTCCACCTCACCTCTTCCCTTGGCTCATTCAAGGCACTCCTCTTCGACCGTGCCTTCGATCACCCTCCTTCCTTCCCTGCCCTCCACCCTCCCTGATCCTGACCCCCAGCTCGGGTCCAAAACACTGATTGTCCAGCGTCTCGTCCGATGTTGTTGTTGTTGAAGGACTTCCATGCGTGTCGGACACCCTGCTGACCCAGAAAAACTGTAAAGGTGAGATTAAACAAGACACCCTCAAAAAAAAGTATTTTAATCACCAGAGCTACTCTTGTGACCTAAGTCAGAAGGTTGTGGGTTCAAGACCCAAGTCAGGATTTGGAATCACATTGTCTATGTTGACATTCCAATGCAGCGCTGGGGATGTTGCATTGTAGGAGGTGCCGTCCTTTGGATGAAACGTTAAACCAAGGTCCCATCTGCCCGTTCAGGTCGACGTTAAAGATCCCATGGCACTATTCGAAAAGACAAGGGAGCTTCTTCTGGTGTCCTGGACAACAAATCCCCAAAATTGGTCATTCATTCCATGGCTGTTCGTGGGACATTGCTGTGCTCAACTGGCGCCCACAAAACACACAGTCAAACCCCACTTTACAGTAAGATTTGGTGAAGTGCTTCGAATCGTCTCGGCGACGTGGTAAGGCGCCATTGTTTACTCACAAGCCGCCAGCGCTGCTGCAAGTCATTTCTACCATTTCCCACCGCCCACCCACCTCCATTTTTTTGGGGGGCTTTTGGTCACCAAACACTTCCTCCCCACAACATGAAGAGCTATGAGGCTTTTCACCCTGCCTGCCTGCCTGACTGAAGTCCTCAAAGTCCTCTTACCCCGCCGTCCCCCCGTCCCCCCCCACCCCCAGCCCAACGCCATTACTAAAGCAGCGACACAAAACTCTGGAAGAGCTGCCGACAGATGAATTCTGGCTCGTCTGGTCGCCCCGTCCGCGTTACGGGGGACGTCGCGCGGAAACATCGCGACGGATCATTATCCGCCACGAAAACGGATGGCGCTCCCGCGCGCCGATCCTCCGGGCGTCTCAATACAGCCGACCATTCGTACTGAATCCAATGGAAGTGCTTCCAAAGACAGTCGTCATCATTCTTCCACATGTTGTTGGGTCGGGGCAGTGTAGAGGTGGGGAGGGGGTGGGGTGGGGGGGGGGGGGAGAGAGATCATGAGGGTTAACAGGTCTTTGTGGATAACCAACCCTCTGGACCTGGTAGGGCGCTAAGAAAAAAAAGGGGGCGTTTAGTTGCAACAATAAACGGGAGAACGGCTTCGACCTGGGGTTACACAGGCCGGGCAGACGGGCCCTGGGTTTAACCGACCGACCGACCGACCGACCATCCGGCAAAAAGGGGGCCCGAGACCCGGCTCTCTGATACTCACCGGGAGAAGAGACGGGAGGTTGTGGGGCAAAGCGTCCCGCTGCCCCCGGGCGGCGCGCTGTCCGGCAAAAGCAGGTGTGAGGGGGCCCTCAAAGTCCAGGCAAAAGACAGAGCTGCAGCTCCTCCTCCTCTTCTTCCTCCTCTTCCTCTTCCACGTCTCGCCGCCGCTGCCGTTTCCACCCCTCACGCCCCCCGTCTCCGTCTCCAGGAACCGCCGCCGCCGCCGCTCCGGCAAAACAAAATGGCGCCCGCGCCGAGGCGCCGCCGCCGCCGCTCCCATTGAGAGGTGGGGAGAGGAACGCACTCGGACATCATCGACACCGTTGCCGCTGTGGGTTTTTTTTTAAAAAAATGGATGGATCGCACCGCTTGCGCTTTCCCTGTTTTTCTAATGATGCTCCATAATACGCAAAGAGGGTGGCAGGGGCTGGCATTTATTTTGGTACTTCCCACCCCCCTCTCCACACGTCCCTTTGGTTTATCCCGATCCAGAGTCGGTGATGGACAGCTTGTCGGTGACGTCAGAGCCATGAGGGGGAGGAGCGTATGGCTCTGGACAGGGCAGAGACCCGGAATTGCACCCCTTGTTATTATACACTATTATTATGACTGCGGGGGTGTGTATTGCCTTCTGCTTGGCACGGTTTTCTTTTTTTCTAGAGAGCAATGCAGGCTCCTGTTAATGCACCTGTAGTAACAATCCTGCACTGTACTTTCATTTGCCATTGCATATGCAATCCTCAAAGAATATTAATCCTTGCATTTGATATAGCACCAAAGCACTTTACAGAATATGCTGTAAAGTTAATTGACTGTATATTTCTTTGTGGGCGAATGGTTCAAAGCACTCAACAGGAGATTGCAGTCAAGTGCGGTGACTGTATTTGTATGGAAAAGCAGCAGTTAATTTGCACACAGCAGGTCCAACAAATGGGTATACTTCAACCATTTTATCCAGGATTATTGGCCAGGATACCAGAAGAAACTCCTTTCTCTTTTCGAACAGTGCCGAAGGATCTTCAACATCCACCTGAACAGACAAATTGGACCTGAGTTTAACATCTTCTGTGAAAGATTTTGCCAACTCCGACATTGCAGTGTTCCCAAACAAGGTGTGTGGTTCAAGCCCCACACCAGGACTTGACACTCACATAGTCAAAGCTGACATTTCAATACACTGCTGGGAATGCACTGTATTGTCAGAGCTATGATCCTTCGGCTGAGATGTTAAACCGAATTCCCATCTGCCTGTTCTATTGGACGTGAAAAAGTCTATGGTACTATTTGAAAAGAGAGGAGAGTTTGTCCTGGCATTTGAATAATGCCATGGAATCTTTAATGTCCACCTGAACAGGCAGATGGGATCTCAGTTTAACATCTCATCCAAAGGATGGCACCTCTGACAATGCAGTACACCCCCTTCACTACATTAGAGTGTCAAACTAGACTATTTGGGTTACGAGTCCCAATGTGGGGTTAATATTATATTTTTCCTGGCAAAATCTTTAGGACCCATAAAAAAGTTTCCCAGATGTTATGGTAACAGTGGAGAGGCCAAATAGTAATGAAGTAAATTTTCATCAGAACCTGTAACACACCAAAATTAATGTCTTAGATGAGGGGTTGGGCAATCAAGCTATTTCATTGGCTCACAATTCCTCTAAGATCATGTAACAGAGGTTAGGTTTTCTACCTGCTCTCACTTACTTCGCAAAGTGAGAGGAGGTGATTTCAAGCAAGAAAGCAGCACAACGCTTGAAGTTTTCAGGGTAAGAAAATGAGTAAAAACACTAAAAAGAGCTTTTAAAAGTTATATAACATATGCTTTTCCTGTGAGTACACAACCATATCTCTGTCACTTGGGCTTTATCTGTGACTAGCCGTCGGTGGAAGCCAGCAACACAACAAAGGAGAGATTGAATTATTTCAAGAACGCTTTATTAAGTCAGCAAGAACAAAATGGTTGACTTAGTAGGTCAAATTAAACCAAGGTCTCACAGAAATGCTAAGGAAATAAAAATGAATTGAATTATCCTGGACAATTCGCTTGACAATATATTCTGTAAAGCGCTTTGAGATGTTTTATCTCAAAGCACTATATCAAATGCAAGGATTATTATTATTAATAATTTCTTGCTTGAAAGCTCCTCCTCCCATTTTCCAAAGTAACTGGGAGCAGGAAGGAAACTTAAGCTAGGTTTCCAATGGGGATATGCTGGCTCCACTGTGACCTGCCTAATTTTTTACAGTTAGCCAGGTGTCTGACAAATGTGACAACCCATACTTAAAAGTATACAAACAAGACAGAGAGTTAAAATGCTTGCAACTTACACATGGAAATGGGAATTGCTCTTCAATCTCCACGTAACAAGGATTGAAATATATGGAGTGGAGTCTTGTAGCATAGTGGTTGGTGGACTCATATGTTGGGTGAGGATAATCTCTTTTACTTATACACCATTTATTATTGGCATGCCTTACTGGTGTGTCGTTAAACCTGAGGAGGGGACCGAGGACAGAGCCCTGAGGAAAACTGCACAAGATGGTGCAGGGACTGGAGGAGAAGCTGTTTGCTGCGACGAAGTAGAGGCGATGTGAAAGGTAGGACCTGAACCAATCAAGGACAGAACCTTGAAGGTTGAGGTGGGCCGGTAGCTGGATAGCTGTGATGGGTCAAGAGAAGGTTTCTTCAAGTTGGGGCTGATAATGGCTGTTTTGAGGGGGGAAGGAACAGTGCCAGATGACAGGGAGAGATTGATGATGTTTACGAGTAATTGGGCAAGGAGGTGGAGCTGGGATTTAAGGAGAGGGGTGGGGATGGGGTCCAGGGAGCAGGTGGTGGGCATTATGGAGGATATGGTGGTGAAGACAGAGGAGGGGTTGACAGGTTCAAACGTGCGGAAGGAGGGATGGGTAATTGTCGGAGTGTGGGGTGAAGGTAGGGAGGGGGTGGAAGTTGGAGGGGCAGTGGCAGCTGAGCGGATTCCCTCGATTTTGGACTTGAGAAAGTCCAGCAATTTCTAGCAGTGCGAGTCAGGGGAAAGAATCTGCAAGTCGTGGCGGGGAGGGCGGAGGAGCCGGTTGGTGGTGGAGAACAGGAGCCTGGGGTTGCCCTTTGCCTCCAGGATTAACCTGGAATAGAAGGACGATTTGGCCGAGGCAAGAGCGGAGCGGTAGGTTTTGATGAGAGGTTTTCCTATTCAGTCAATTTCCTATTCAGTCAATTCACTTTAGAGTATATCATGTGAAGCACTTTGAGATGTCTCAATTTTATTATTATTATTACAACAATAACAAGATTGCATTTATAGAGCACCTTTCACGTTGGGAGGACGTCCCAAGGCGCTGGACAATTGGGTCGGGACCCGAGCAGGGGGGAAATGGTCAGAGTGAGAGGAGGAAAGGGAGGGAGCGAGGAGGGGGTAGAGAGTCGAGAGGGGAGCTGAAGGCACGGTCAAAGAGAAAGGTCTTGAGCCCGGCCTTGAAGGAGGAAAGGGAGGAAGCAAGGCAAAGGCACTGGGGTATGGAATTCCAGAGCCTAGAGGCTGAGAAGCTGAAAGCCCAGCCACCGATGGTAGGGTGGTTAGGGCGGGTGGATGTGGAGCAGACCGGAGCAAGAGGAACGGAGGGTACGGGCAGGTATGTGGGGGGATAGTAGGTCGGAGAGGTAGGAGGGTGCAAGGCCATGAATGGCCTTGTAGGTGAGGATGAGGATCTTGAATTCGATCCTCTGGGGGATGGGGAGCCAGTGGAGGCGAGCGAGGGTGGGAGTGATGTGGTCGCGAAGCCTGGTGCGGGACAGAGTTCTGAATGACCTGCAGCTTGTGGAGGGAGGTGCCAGGAAGGCCGACGAGGAGAGAGTTCCCGTAGTCCAGCCTTGAGGTGATAAAGGCGTGGACCAGAGTTTCAGCAGCGTGAGGGGTGAGGTAGTGCCGTAGTCTGGCGATGTTCCGGAGGTGGTGGAAGGCGGTGCCAGTTGTGGTGCGGACGTAGGGAAGAAAAGACAGCTCAGGGTCGAACAGAACACTGAGGTTCCTGACCGGCTGTGAGAGGTGGAGAGTGCAGCCTTGGATGCTGTCAGCGCCTGAGATGCGGAGGCGCTGACGCGAGCCAATCAGTAGGGCCTCAATTTTGCGCACGTTGAGCTGAAGAAAGTTGTCTCTCGTCCAGGACTCGATGTCAGACAGGTAGGCTGTCAGGACATGGGTGGTCGTGGAGTTGAGGGTAGAGGAGGAAAGGTAGAGTTGGGTGTCATCCGCATAGAGGTTGGAAGTTAACCTCATGTCTACGGATGATGTCACCAAGAGGGAGCATATAGAAGGTGAAGAGGAGGGGACCAAGGACAGAGCCCTGAAGGACACCGCACAAGACAGTGCGGGGGGTGGAGGAAAAGCCGTTTGCAGAGACAAAATGAAGACGGTGGGAGAGGTAGGACCTAAACCACTCAAGGACAGGGCCTTGAAGGTTGAGGTGGGAGGATATGTGGTGGAGGAGGATAGAGTGGTCGACCGTATCGATTGCGGCCGATAGGTCGAGGAGGACCCATTATTTCAAGGTAATATTCCCACTCAGATCATTTTAATCCTGCAAGCCAAAGCCCTGAGTAAGGTGGTCCGAGCTGGGCAATTTGCCAGACAGTGCTTTCAATGCCAAGCTGTGCAGTTTTAGCTGCCTAAATGCCAGCAGTAGTACCCCAATAAACACTCTTGGGTGGCCCAAGCCTTGTCTCTTGCCAACCTGCATCTGATACACTATTCTCTGAAAATAGGTTAATAAGATGCACCCCATTGGAAAGTGAGCAATTCCATTCCAAATGGAATTCCAGGAATTTCTATGTGTAGGTGTCAGATGTGGAACTCTGTTTGGTTTGGCTTTACCGCCTCTTTTTTTTCACACTGCTTAAATTGCTTGGGCGTGTGCACGCCTCACCCAAAACACAATATATCTGGAAAATTAAGATTATAACAATTGAGCACCTGTAAGATAGAGGAACAAGGAAACTTGGTAAGTCCAAGGCAACTATTTGCCTCTGAAAGCCTCCACTGATGCCAGGCTTCACTCATTCATGCCAGAGAGGTGTAAAGCAGGATAATCTTCACCAGCGTTTGATTTATATGCTGAGATAACTGTAGCCCTTTTAATTTTAAGGTGAGTTACTTAAGAAAATTGTACCAATCCTCCTCTTTGTTTCATTCCCTTCGAGCCTGATGATATGATGTTCACCCTG